TTGCCACACTGGTAGTCCAATACCACTTGCATCATAGTCTTGGCTCTCCAAGTCTGGGCCATCTGTCCATGAGTGGTCATCCTAGATCCACTCCTTAGCATCCTTAGGATGCCCATAGACCGGGGGAATCGCCTTCCCCAAAGTCCCTTTGTCAGTTCCTACCAAGTCCCTTTCTGCCCCTGGCCGTGTTTGCCAACACTGCCACTGGATCGAGGCCCACAGGCCTGACCACTAAGTCCCACGGTCCTCTGGGACTTCCTCACCACACAACTGTGTCCTTGGTCACTACCCCAGAGGACTGCTCCTCTTCCCTTCCACAGTCTAGGCCTTTGGGACAACATTTCGGAACACCGTGGCCTTACGCGAGCCACCTGGGTACTCTCCCCGCCTTTCGCCTTTAGGTGCTCTAGCCATGGGCTTAGAGCGAGGTTCCGTTGAGCCACGCCTGGTATCCAAGTAGGTAGTGCCACCCACAATTGGACTGGGAGCATCGGCCAGTCGATCTCCCGGGGGAACTAGAGCCGGCTCTTGAACACTTCACCAAGCTACCCTGCTTGTCGGTTCGTATTCACTCTAGTCTTGGACTTCCCAGTGGTCAGTTCCTCACCCAACACTGGGTCTAGCATTCCTGGGCCAAACTGGCCTTTCCTGGCCAAACTGGCTCCACTGCAGTCCTCCCCCTTACTATACTTTTGGAGCTCACCAAACCCCCCAGGGTCTGGGAGACGAACGCTTTGGGCTTTCACCCTCTCAGGCTCCGGACTCGGACTCGGACTCGGACTCGGACTCGGACTCGGACTCGGACTCGGATTCGGACTCGGACTCGGGCTCGGGCTCGGTCTCGGCCTCAGCCTCGGTCTCGGTCTCGGTCCCGATCTCGGTCTCGGTCTTGGTCTTGGTCTCGGTCCCGGTCTCGGTCTCGACTTCGGACTCCATCTCGGACTCCATCTCGGACTCCATCTCGGACTCCATCTCGGACTCCATCTCGGACTCCATCTCGGGTCCATCTCGGGTCCATCTCAGACTCCATCTCGGACTCCATCTCGGGTCCATCTCGGACTCCATCTCGGACTCCATTTCGGGTCCATCTCGGGTCCACCTCGGACTCCATCTCGGACTCCATCTCGGACTCCATCTCTGGTCCATCTCGGACTCCACCTCGGACTCCAACTCGGGTCCATCTCGGGTCCACCTCGGACTCCACTTCGAACTCCATCTCGGGTCCATCTCGGGTCCACCTCGGACTCCACTTCGGACTCCATCTCGGACTCCATCTCGGGTCCATCTCGGACTCCACTTCGGACTCCAACTCGGGTCCATCTCGGACTCCACTTCGGACTCCAACTCGAGTCCATCTCGGACACTCCCATGTGTCATGTGTTGGTCCTTTTGGGTCCCTTTTTGGAGCCTCGCTTTTTACTCGCTTCGTGCTTGTTCCTCGAGCCCTTCTTTGGGAGTTCCACTCCCGCTCTTGACTTTTCAAGTCGGAGCTTTTGGTCCAAACGTGTTACGCTCGTTTGGCTCTCGCTTCAGCCACTACCACGTGGCACCCTTTCCGGCTCCACTTTGGGGCCTAGGGATTTTGTGTCTCACAGCGGAGTCCTTGGGCATGTGAACCTCATCTTGTGACGAAGCTTGATGAGAGTATTCGTTTCTGCATCGACTATCGTCCGTTAAACGAAGTGACGATCCCAAATGTGTACCCTCTTCCTCACACTGCTGATCTCTTGGATCGTCTGGGGTGAAGTTGTTGGTTCACAAAGCTAGATCTTGCTTTTGGGTACTGACAAGTATCGATGGCCAAAGAAGATATTCCTAAGATTACTTTTCGTACACCATTTGGTTTGTACGAGTTCTTGGTGATGCCGTTTGGTTTAAACAATGCTTCAGCAACTTTCTAGCGGATGATGGACGAGGTTCTTTGCGATATGCTGGAGGTGACTGCTGACTTCATTGATGATGTCTTGATTCAATCGGAGGGGACGTGGGAGGAGCACGTTTGTGATGTTTGTAAAGTGTTGGATAGGCTACGCGACGTTGGTTTAAAGCTAAAGCAGTCGAAGTGCGTGTTTGGGTCCAAGGATACAACTTGTCTTGGGTACCGTATTTCTCGTGAGGGTTTGCAAGTTGATCCTGACAAACTTGTGGCTATTCTAAAGTTCCCTACTCCGAAGTGTGTGAATGATGTGCAGCGCTTCTTGGGCAAGGTGCAGTATCTCGGTCGTTTTGTGGATCATCTTTCTGACCGCACTGCACCATTGCGAGCGTTGCTGAAGTCATCAACATCATCTTTCATCTGGTTTCTGGATTGTGAGCGGGCGTTCGGGGATCTCAAAGAGCTGTTGACGACTCCTCTGGTTTTGGCATATCTTGACTACACTCAACCTTTTATTTTTCGCATGGATGCTTCTGACATTGGTCTTGGAGGTGTGTTGATGCAAGAGAGCTCGAGTGTGCTTGGTCAATGCCATCCCATTGCGTATATAAGTCGTACGTTACAACCAGCGGAAATGAACTACTTTACGACAGAGAAGGAGTGTTTAGCAGCAGTTTGGGGTTTCGAGAAACTTCATGCATATCTACATGGTTCTCGGACGTTACTTGAAGGTGATCATGCTGCTGTTACTTCATTATTGAAGCGGAAGAACTTGGTGGGTCGTACTACTCGTTGGGCTTTGAAGCTTCAGATATATAATTTTGATGTTGTTCATTGCCCAGGGAGTTCTATGGTTGATGCTGATGCCCTTTCTCGAGCTCCTCTTCCTTCTCCATTCTCTTCTCATGTTTCTAACGAGCCTGTTGTTCTAGCCTCTGTGGATTTTCTAGACAAGGATTCTGTGCCGTCGGCGGTTGTTGTACTTGACGTTCAATGTTCACAAGGCGCAGAGCAAGATCTACCTTCTCTTGATGAGGTTCGCGAGACTCAACAAATTGGGCCGTGGATTCGAAGGCTTTGAGATGGGTTTGAGAATCCTGCATCACTTGCTGATGACTTGCCTTTCTGGCATTTCCATTCTCAATATCGCCTTGAAGATGGCCTTTTTTATTTTGTAGGGACGGATCCTGATGATCATTTACGATTGGTGGTGCCTTCTATCTTTATTCCACGGTTTCTCCATGCCTACCATGATTCTCCTATTCTAGGTGGGCATATGGGACATCGTCATGTAACCAAGAAGCTGCGCAGGTCTTTCTATTGGCCGGAGATGCGACGTGATATTATCCGGTATGTGCGTAGCTGTGTTTGGTGCCAAGCTTGTAATACTCCCCCTCGGGCTGTGGAAAGACAGTTGGAGTCAATTTCAATTTCCCGTCCATTTAAGTTGGTGGCATTTGATCTTATGGGACCTTTTCCACGGTCAACTACTGGCAATGAGTATGTTATTGTTGCTTCTGACTACTTGACTCATTAGGTGGAAGTTGGTGCTCTCGCTAGCACCTTTGCAACTGCTGTTGGATACTTCCTCCTCAACTGTGTGGTGTTCCAACATTCTTGTCTAGAGTGGATTCTTTCGGATAATGGTCCCGCATTTATGGCTGAGGCATTTCATGTTTTGATGTCTCGGTTGGGGATACGCCACACGTTCACGAGTGCTTATCATCCACAATTAGACGGTCTGGTGGAACGGCTCGTTCGGACATTCAAGGGGATAATTGCGAAGTATGTGAACTTTTAGCATTCAGATTGGGATAGTTATTTGCCATCTCTTCGGTATACATATGTCACAAGGGTGCAGAGTTCTGTTGGTGCTTCACCATATAAACTCCTATATGGTCATGATCCAATATTACCAATGGAGCTGGGTTTACCTTTGTGATTGCCACGAGTTGCTGATGCTAGGTCATGGAATCAGTATTTGATGAGCATCCTTCCCTTTGTCCGAGTAGAGTCTGCCGAACACTTAGGCCATGTACAAGTGGGACAACAACGATGGTACAACTCCCATCATCGTCCACCTGTGGAGTACAAAGTGGATGATTTGGTGTTAGTCCGTTTTCCCCATCTTACGGTACGTGGTTTATCTAAGGGGCTCCTTGCGGAGTGGAAAAAACCGTATCGGGTGTTGTGGCAAGTTGGACCACAAGTTTATGAGGTTCGGCATGACGTCCAGTAGGCCGATCCTCCAGAGATTGTGCATGTGCAGTGGTTGAAATGTTTTATATAAAGGGACCAGGAGCAGTTAATACCACTTACAAATCCGCCGATGCCTCCTCTTGACGTTCCTTCAGATCCCGGCCCATTTACAAGCCTTGATGATCTTCCATTATTCCGAGAGAAGGGGATGATGTGAGGGCCAAGTGTACAGTTACAATGCCGTATACTAATATTAGCGTAGTGGGATTTTGGTAGCCATCGGATTGGTTTCAATTTGGACCACTCGCTCCTATATATAAGGTAGGATTTTTGGGCTAATTGATATGCATATTTTCTGTATTCTCTTTCCATATTCCAAGCACTTACAAGACTAGATAATTTCATTAAAGGATTATTTATCCTAAATTCTATAAATTTTTTTAAAAAATTAATCCTATTTGTCCTTTTCATTCTTATAATTTGATGATAAATCCTTGTGCTTAACAAAAATCTTCTCTGAATTATTGCAACTACTTTGTTGAAAAATGTCATTCCTGATAATCTATATTTTTAGATTTGAGTTTGATTATTTATTATTCCAAAAATAGTCACATTTATAGCTAACATTAAAAATCAATTTTAAAAACTGATTAAATAATATTCTATAATCTAGAAAAGTCAATTTTTAAATATAAAATAATTTAAAATGGTTAATAAAGCTAATGTTAAATATTTAGAACTATTGTTAAACTTGCACAAGACAATCCACAAAACCTGGTTGTCAATGCGCGGAATTTGGGGCTGCTGGAGCGGCAAATCCTCATGGACAATCTCATCTAGGTCAAAATATAGCTTTTCATGTGCAAAATATCATATACCACGTGGCATTTATAGTTTGGTTCTCATAACCTTTATAAAGAGCCTGTAATGAGACCGAGTTTAGGCGGTTTTGGATCGTTTATGAAAATTACCGTGTATAACAAAGTGAATCATGCAAAGCGACTTGCAGTGTTGTGAACTAACACGTCAGGTACTACACGCCTACGTGGCAAAAACACGTGGCAGTTATGGAAGTGCAAGCTCCGAGATGAGCTCTTTGAAACCTTCCTCCTCGCGAATGAATTCCACCCAGCGAGCGTTGATCCGGACTCTCTCCACGCACTGGCTCACTGTTCGCTCGATCGCCAGCATCCCATGCTGGCGGAAAAACTCTTCAATCTCGTCGGCCTTTTCCTGGCTCGAAAACTGGGCAAAGAAAGAAGAACGAGAATTTTCACAACCAAGTTCGAGGTCACTGAGATTACCGAAGTTGTAGTGGTGACGAAGCGACTGATAAGAAATCCGCTGTCACCCCATCGACTGCGGAGAAGGCTCCAGTTTTCCTGCTTACACGGTTATGGTCTAGCAAAGCATGTAGTGTTTGTACCTTTAGCCAAGACCAGGCAGTCTCGCGGCCTTCCCTGCGAACTCCACCGAGTACGAAAAACGCATCCTGGTTACGAACCTGCGCGCAAAAATGCGAGTTTGCTTGCAAAGCGAACAATGAAAACTGGTATCCAGCTTACTTCGTCCGTAAGTATCAAGTTCAATGCTTCCCGAACGACTTCAGTATCACTTGACGCCGCAAGGCATGCTGCAACGGGAGATGTTAGTAAAACCGGAGTCGTGCCAGAGAACAACAGTACATAGAATCCGTGTTCGTTCCTGGCCCAGGTCTGTTTCCCTGTAGATCTGGAGCAATGCATCATATCCAGATTTGTCGGCAGCGGTTACGCTTCGCATTACAGCCGAGTATGCAGCCTGCAACGCAACAGAGGATTAAAAAACGCCAGTAAAAGTCGGCAACACTTACCTTTCTTATGTCTGCAGGTAGCCTCGAAGTATTTCTATCCTTCAAAAACTCGTAAAAACGCTCTTTGGCTTCGATGACGGTTGGTTCATGGCCAAAAAGCACAAGAGCCAACATAAGATCCCCTCGGAGCATAGAGACGAGGTCACTTTCTCCGGGAACAGCGTCCCATCCAACGTTTCTGAGCAAAACAAGCACAGGTATAAAATATTATTTTTGAAAGCGGCTCGTTACTTGGCTGGAGCGAGAAGCAGTCTTGAGAGGAAGCCTTTTGTATCTTCAGCAACAGCAGGAATAGCGTCGGCCAAAATCCATGATACACCTCTCGACACCTGTGACGATTATTTTCAGTTCCGGACAACAAACAACGATCCCTTACTGTAATAAGGTGGCCCAGGACAGCTGGATCAGCCTCAGCGCTGTAAGCTTCCATCAAAGACAGTAAAACTCGCATTGGTTCTCGACAAGCTTTACACAAAGCGTAAATATCATCCAGAACACCTGAAAGAAAGAATTTCAGCACACAATCCGAAGCAATAAGTAAAATTTACCAAATCTATCGTCAGGCTGGAGATATCCTCCAGATATTGCAGACCGAAGACTCGCAGCTAGATGATCGTCATACTGGACTCTGTAGAAGCCTGTTTGGCCGACGTTGAGTTTTATCCACTTCCCTTTGGATTTTGTGTCCACTTCATGAGATATCGGGATTCGAGCGGATGTGCCTCGGACCAACGAAGTTTTGTACGAATCATATGAGTTGCAACACAAGGTGAGGGGTATGACCCACTCACCAAAGCCTGGTTGTCCGGTTGATAGAAACTGGGACTGCGCACGAAAAAGATTAATATTGGAAAGGGAGAGCTGACTTTACCTGATGAAGCTCAAGAGCATCGCCAACTAGCTTGACAGCCAAAACAGGGTAACCCTTCTGTTTTGTCCAGGAATTCATCAGCTCTTTAACCGGTTGTCCTGACTCTGATGAAAGAGAATCCCACAAATCCTCTGTTGCAGCATTCCTATAAGCAAACTTTTTGATATACGATGCAAGCCCTTTCTGAAAGAAAAATTCAGTATTTTAAGCAATCCGGTAAACCACTCTACCTGAAAAGTCTTAGCACAAAGGTAAGTTTGCAGCATACGAATGATAGATGCACCCTTTTTGTAGCTGATAGCGTCAAAAATCTCGTCGATCTCACGAACGTGACCAACTTCAACCTCAATTGGATGGGATTCAACAAGGCCGTCCAGTCTATAAGCGTCAACAGTCAGCTCGTTGAATTGAGTCCAGACTTTCCATTCCGGAAATAAGTAGTCTGCTGCCAAGTAACTAACCTGCAAAACATTTTCCATTCTAGAAGTTAAACTTATTCTCTAAGCAACCAGCTTACCCAGGTTGCAAAACCTTCATTTAGCCAAAGATGCGTCCACCATTCCATTGTAACAAGATTTCCAAACCACTGATGAGCAAGCTCGTGAGTGACAACAACAGCAACCTGAAAATGCACAACACTCGGTAAAGACACCAAACAATGAACTAGAATGTAATACTCGTTGCTTGTTCGCGGCAGCCGAATGCTTCTCATCAAAGAGAAGAGCAGTCTCACGGTAAGTAACAAGGCCATAGTTTTCCATTGCTCCAGCTGCGAAGTCAGGAATAGCCACCATATCCATTTTAGGAAGGGGATACGGAGTCTCGAAGTATCTGAAGTAAAATCAAGATTTAGGAACATATACAATTTGTTTTGAACGTACTCCGTATAAAAAGGAAGTGTTTCCACAGCCACACCGAGCGCAAATTTCCCTAGTTCAGCTTTTCCTGGCAAAGTATAAACACGAACACTCGTGCCTGGAAGACCAAGTTAAATGCATGCTAACAACATACGAAAGGGCATACCATCTCTAGTAGTCCCTTCTAGATAGCTCAGCTCTCCAACGACAACAGCTACCAAGTACGTAGACATAATTGGAGTTACTTGAAACTCTACAACTTTAGAATCCCCCGACATTTTCTCGTTTTCCACGGGCATGTTTGACAACACCACGCGATCTGCCGGAGCTTCAATAACAATCTTGAAAGTAGCCTATGAAACAAAGACGAAAACTAAAAAACATAAGCACCAGAGCTGAAAAAAAATTCTACCTTGAAAGACGGCTCGTCCCAGGACGGGAAACACCTACGAGCATCAGCAGGCTCGAACTGTGTCACAGCCATGTTTCTCTTCTCGTCACCAACACTGTACGAGCTGCGATAGAAACCTTTCATCTGATCGTTCAAGGTTCCTTCGAAGCTCATGGACAACGTTCCCTGTCCAACGGGTAAGGCTTCCTTGAATTTCATCACCAGGATCTCATGGTCGGTTACTAGATCAAGCGTTGCCGGTTTCAACACCTGAAAGGCAACGAGAAACCCAGTCAAAACCACGAACAAAATCGAAAAGAAAGAACCAAGGAACCAAACGATAATCATACACATCGTCGAGGTTTCAAGGTCCAAGCGATCGAAAACAAGAAGCCAGGCCAGAAGTTTATTCTTGTAAGAAATACAAGGCACAAGACAAGCCACCAGAGCTGGACGGGGGTTTAACCACCATCACAATCCTCATAGTACCTGACTGGAACCAGTTGGCCGGAACGAGACCGATCCATCGCGAACCTTCAAATCGGCAGCATTGATGATGATCTCGTCCACACCCTCCACAACTTCCACATCCACCGAGAGATCCCCATCAAAGACGCACGCCTGGAGGTCGGGCTTGAGGCGGAGATTGTAGTGACGAGGAAGAACACTCGTTGGGAGCCTGGGAGACCCCTTGACAGCACCACCACTTTCGTCGTTATCCCTCATTCTAGCGAAGAAGATCGCGGTTGCGAGCACCAGAGCAGCAAACGCAGCGGCAGCGAATCTAAATGCCATGCATACACACACTATTAGCAAGAAATCTCGAAAGTAATCGAAGGCACAGGAAGCAAAAGAACCTCAAAAGCCGCGGCGGCGTGACAAAATCGAGATTTCCCGATCAGTGAACCAGCCTCACCGCGAAATGCAAGAACTTGACGCACAGGCAGGTACAGATAATGAAGAACATCGAGTAGAAGAGACGAAGAGACATCGCTCGCGAGAAAGATTTCCGGAATTTCACCCAGAGACCACAAGGAAACGGCAGAGACGACGAAGAGCAAGAATCCTAGCTTACACGGCAACGGGCAAGCTCCGCACGGATCAATCCAAGCGCACAAGCCAAGACCTAGGAGAAAACCCGCAAGAACCCTAAATCCTTCGTTAGCTGTTACCCGTTTATATATACGCCGGCCGGTGACACGTGGAGGGCATCCACTGCTACACGTGGCAGGGCCTCGTTTGTGGATAAACTCCATGGTTGTTCGAAATGCTGCCACTGGTACCTGGGAATAGAAAGCGCGCATTTAAAGTTATCGGTTTGAGATTCCCGCGCTAACTCAAAGCTTTAGATAGAGAGAGGCAATAGATAGGGTTGAGAAAATTCTTCCATAAATCCCGAAGAACCGGGAGCGATCGATCGATCTACTGCTGCAACTGGCAGGTAAGAAAATCTCGGCAAAGATCGGTACGTTTATTAAATTCTATACCCTTTGTTTGGTAGCTGCTTGCCTTGCCGGTTTGCTTGCTCCAATCGATTGAGTAGCGCGGCTATGGCGCCGAATGCTCGACCGAGCAAGGGATTTCTCTATGGATCTGTGTTGAGGGCGGGGTTGTCCGCCATGGAGGCCAATCTCGTGCCCGACTTTGTGCTGCGCAGGGCGACGAGAATGCTGCTCGCGTCGCGCTTGCGGGAATTGCGACGGCATAGCGTAGAGGAGGAGTTAAACGAGCTCATGAAATTCGCCAAGTGTACGTAACTTTTTTTTTTTCTTTGTTTATTTTTTCGAAGTTTCAGTGCTAGCTCGGTGGTTTCTTCGCATTTTTTTTCTTTCTTGAGCTTCTAGGAGTTCTGAAAGTTTTTTTTTTTTGCAGCTCTCAAACAGATGCCAATCGCCATCCATACCGACGCTGCGAATTCTCAGCACTATCAAGTTCCCACCGAGTTTTACAAGCTAGTGCTTGGAAAGCACCTCAAATACAGGTTGAGATTTTTGTCTTTGTTTTTTCTTTCTTCCTTGTTCTTTTCAGTCATGACAAGTTTTCTTTCGGTTTTAGCTGCGCGTACTTTTGCAAAGATTCGTACACGCTCGATCAAGCTGAGGAGGCCATGTTGGAGCTTTACTGTGAAAGAGCACAACTTAAGGACGGGCAAGTGGTGTTGGACCTTGGATGTGGATGGGGATCGCTATCCTTGTACATAGCTGAAAAATATCCTGCCAGTCGAATCACCGGCGTTTCGAATTCTGCGACACAGAGAGAGTTCATTGAAGGAGAATGCAGGTAAGTGAAAGCAAACCTTGTGACTTTTGTATAACTCTCCCTTATCTCAAAACAGCAAGCGAGGACTGTCCAACGTGAAGGTTATCGTTTCGGATATAAACGACTTCCAGGCGCCAGAGAAATTCGACCGGATCCTCTCGATAGAAATGTTTGAGGTCTGACACTTTAACTCCTTATGCTACTTTTCTCTGACGTTTCTCCTCTGTCTGTATGGATCAGCACATGAAGAATTATCAAAAGCTTCTCAAAAACATCGCATCATGGATGAAGCCAGATTGTCTTCTCTTCGTTCACATTTTTTGCCACAAGAACCACGCTTACCATTTCGAGGTAGAAACACTGTTTTGTTTTGGAGGTGAATTATTTCTAACGTCATTCAAATGAAGGACACTGGAGACGACGACTGGATGGCAAGATCCTTCTTCACAGGTGGAACCATGCCCGCAGATCCATTGCTCCTTTACTTTCAGGTAAAACAAAAGCAAAAGCTCTCGTATTTGCAAAAACAGTCTCCAAAACTCATTTCTTTTGTCTTCCATGTTTTGCTACTCCAGGAGGATGTCTCGATTCTACATCATTGGCGCCTCAGCGGAACTCATTATGCTCGAACCAGGCACGGTTTTCTCGCTCTCCTTTCCTTTTGCTTTTCCTCTCCTGCGTGTTTTATGTTCTCATAGCTACCTCCAAGGAAGCTACTAACTTCGAGCTCTCACTCATTCCAATGCAGTGAGGCCTGGCTAAAGCGAATGGACCAGAACCTGAGCTCGATTCGTCCCATCTTTGCTAAAGCCTATGGCGAAAGCGACGCCAGCACTAAGTGGCTCGCCTTCTGGAGAACATTCTTCATAGCAGTAGCGGAGCTGTTTGCCTTCGACAATGGCCAACAATGGATCGTCTCGCACTACCTTTACAAGCTCAAGGCCAGCGACATGGACGCCAATGCTACATGATATCAAAGAATCACGGCAATCAGGTGCGTACCACTGCTGATCATACTAGTTTTTCTTTTTTCCTTTATTTTTTTGCGTAGATTCTCCCAAGGTGCAGGCACCAATATCTCTCTTTTTCGTGGTTTCTTTAGTTCGTCCATCGCTCAGGCTGGCTACAAGGTCCCTTTAAATTTTCTTCCATTCGGTCAGGTATCAACTCTAAAGGCAACGACCGGCTCTTTGTTTACCACTATACTAAATCTTTTTCTATTCGTTTCGTCGCAGGAGTTACGACATTGTGATGTCATTCGCGATCCAACGGTGCCCGCCCAAATAGAAAACAACAGGCAAAACATAAGCTTCCACAGCCCAAATAGAAAACAACAAACAAAAACGTAAGCTTCCACACACGCCCGCACTGTGCATGTGAAGCTCATGGTTTTAATAAACTAATCACCACTCCATCATTGAAGGAACCATGGTCTGATATAATGGAAGGGACAATGAATACCCTTTGGGTTCTATAGTCGAATATCCAAAGATCTTCGAATTCTTCATGTTTTCTAGAACTTGGCTGTACAGAGAAACCGAGCCTGGAGATCTTCCGTACGGACGCGAGATCTTCCAGTTTTTCTTTCCTTGTTTTTCCTTTTCCGCCAGCATCATGAAACATGAATTACGGGGAAAAGGAAATCGCGCCAAGGAACGAAAGAAGTTTTCTTCCAAGAGTTTTTTTTTTTCCTCTGCTTTTCACCTGGCCGTGATGGAAGAGGTGGCGGCGAAGAAGATTTACCTCGCGATTCCGATTCCTCCTCCTCGTCCTCCTACCAATCCCCAGCACTCCGAAAGCTCTCCAGACGACTGCCGATCAATCAGCAGGCCCTCATCATCTTCCAGAAGAGCATCAACCTGGAACAAAATCCGCCATACCCAAGTTTCAGTCCAACACGGAAGGAAGGCGAGGAAGCCCGTTCCTAGGAATAAAGTTTCCAAAAGCGGGGAACAAAGATAAAACAAAAAGAAGAAAACATGAACACTTGGATTCTCTCCCTCTCAGAGCTGGGAGCTTTAGAACTTTAGAGAGGAAGAAAAAGAGAAGAAAAAGAGAGCTTGGAATGGAATTGGAATTGCTTACCTCATCTTCATATTCGCCGCCAGCTCTCATCTTACTTGTCCTGGCTGAGCCCGATGCCCCCGACGACGCGACGGATGAATCAACCACGTCTTCGTTTTTGGCAAACCGGCCGCGGACACGAGGGCGGCTGTCCGCAAGCGTCTTTCGGCACGCATACTGCCACAGTGAAGACAAACCACGTATTAAATATCGAGGCCCGGCAGCACGAAAGCGAGCGAATTATGCGTGAATGGAAACTCCACTGACCTTGATTTTCTTGTTAAAGTTCCGCTCGGATCGCTTCTGGCGGTATCTGTGAATCCGCTCCTTGCGCTCGGCGAGACTGTATCGTCCAATTTTAAAACCGCATTCGTCCTGGCCTTCAGATTGCAAGGAGGTGTTCATTCTCTGATGCAGGAGGAAGCAGTCGCATTAGCTACCTTAGCCTATTTTAACTCGGCAAAGTAAGGACAGACGACGAAAGAAAACGAAAGAGCATACGGAAAGACGATGCAATATTATATGTCCACATAATCAGCAGAGAATCAGGCCGATAAAGACACCCATCAGACGAAAAAGAATGCGAAATGCAGCATCACAGTGCAAGGACTGTTTGAAAAAACTTTTCTAGATTGGCCTGCTAAGTTAAAATCACTCGAAAGCTGCAGCGAGCAAACAGAAAAACAAGCAACAAAAGAAGAAAAAAGAAAAACGAGAAACAAAAGCCCAAGAGACTGGTAATGAAAATTTCGTACCTGGATGTCACCGGTGCTGCAAACTCTCCTCATGCTGTTACTGCAAGGCGAGAAGCAGCCGGAGCTGGGGCTCCTCCTCATCACATCGATGTCAATTCCATCCCCTTCCTTGACTTCGAGGAGCTGCGAAAGAGATGGAACAATGGAGCCCGAGCAAGCGTGGAGGCCTTGCATGGTCGAATCCAAAGCGGAAGTTCCATTAGTCGCTGCGCCTGGCGTCGCTGAGGAAATCTAGAACAAAGGAGAAAGAAAAAGTCTCGTGAGCAAAGGAAAGCTATATCGTGAAAGATTTTACGCTGGGAAGTTGTCCAAGAGCGTGGCTGCTATAGCTCCTTTGCATCACATAAGGCCGCCTGGAAACGTCGCCGCCATGGCCGCCAATTCCCCCATAGACGAGAGAGCCCCCCAATGGCGAGTCGTAGAGGCCGGCTTTGCCACTTCCACTGTTCCTGAGGATGCCATCCTTGGAATCCACCACCACCACCGGAGGCAATTCCTTGCCAATCTGATGCTGCTTCTTGGGCGAGGCCAGCGGCGACGAGGAGATCCTCTTGTTGGAGAGCGGCGTCGCCGCAATCAGCTGGTCCAGCGAGAGCGAATTGAGCTCCTCGGAGACGGCAGAGAAGGAAGGCTTCCGGGTGGGCGATGAGGAGGAGATTGCCTGCTTACTCTCGTCTTGGATGTGGGCGCCATTGTAATGCTGTGGCAACGCGCCCAGGATGTCGGTGCCTTGGAAATTTGTGCCCGCAATGCCGTCAAGATCGTTGTCGAGATCGTTCTCCTGCGAGCAAGCCGGCACAGAGATCGTCAAGAACGGGGAGGAAGAAAGAGGGCATGCATGCACGAAGAAGCCTAGACTAAAAATCCGAAAGGATTTCCTACCAGGAAGACGAGATCGTCCAATTCGATCATGGAGTGATTGTTGTCTAAAAATGTGAGCGGCTCCAGCGCGTACTGGCTGCTTAGCATCGACAATTCGCTTTCGGTCATTGCAGCCATGGCGCTCAATGGAAAGAACTAACAAAGAGGAGAAGGAAAAGATTCAAGGAAGGATTCTAGAGAGGAGAAAGAAAGAAGAGGCCAGAGAAAGCTTTTCAGCGATTGAATCGATTCAACAAAGACGAGCTCTTGGCGAGAATTTGCTATCCCGCTGCTCCATTCTCGTCGAATTCCGGATTCTAGCTAGGGCTGAGTGATCCATGCACAAGACCGCGCCGGCAATCCACGAAATCTGGAGCACGTCGAGAATTCCAGCGCCTAGAGGAAGGATTCGTGGAATGCAGGCGATTGGAATTCACGAAGAACCCTAAGAGCAAGAGCGCTGGCACATTGAGAGAGATATATTGTCGCTGGCTATATTGTAGGAGAGCTGGCTGTATTTGGCTAGAGGAGGTTTTGGAGGGAGTTTTAGCGGAAAGTTGCCACGTGTGCGGCTGGCCAATCTGGCGGACAGCTTGGCAAGGCTAGGTTCTCTATCTCTCTCATGCATTTGGCCAGATTACAAGGACTCTTCGTATTCTAGGGCTCTTGGGGATTTCGAAGAGCTCTATAGTGGAGGACGATCGCGCTACCGAGCTAGAGTTTGCCGAGCTAGCCGAGGTAAGAGAGCTCTAAGATCTCCTTTGCTAGAGCAATTCCCTACACAAGTTTTTCTCTGAGAAATTGCTTGGATGACAATGAAGGATGCGCGGCTTGGATCTCTAGTGGCCGCATTTTCACGAATGAGAGGTAAATCGCTATATAATCTTCCCCTGCTGATAGATTTCTCTTGCAGGGCGTGAGTTTCTTTTGAGCAGGAACTTCGAAGGAATACAAAAGAAGGAAAATTCTTTGCGATCAACAGAGAAGCCGCCTAGTTCTCCTGGAAGACATGTCCGACCTCATCCTCTTGCAAAGCTTCTCCAGCTCCGACACCTTGGCCTGCATCTTGTTGATATCCGACTTGAGCTCTTCGTTTTGGCGAATGATCAGTCCAAACTCGGGCGATGGCTGATCGACAGCGCTAGGAGCGGCGGAAGGATGATTCACCGCAGGTACTGGTGCTTCTTTGTATCTCGAGCTGTCACTCACTCTCAGTCCTTCCTTGAAGAAGCAGTGATCGATGGTGTCTCTGAGCTTGGCTTGCTGGAGAAGAAGAATCTGGAGTGCCAATCGTGCTGGGAACCGTGGGTTTTGCGCAGCATGCTTGCATCCCTCGAACGACAGCTTCTGGTAATTCACCACCTTGCAAAGTTCCATGGTTTCGGACTCCGAGACTGCTGGATGTGCCTGCTCCATGCGACAAACGTTCCATGGTGAGCGAGCTTTTAGTTGCAAAGTTTCTTCTTCTAACGTGAGTTTGCAACAGGAAAGAAGAACACTTACCTGCAGATACAAATCCAAAGCTCGGTAGAGCCCGTCGTGCATGAGCCTGGCCGAGTCCGGCAGTGCTTTGGCCACTGACTTAAACTTGAAAGGCTTAAGCTGTGGATCCGCTGCGATCTCCACCAGGTATTTATCAATCAGATCCGCAACTTTTGTCAGCGAGTGCTCGAACTTTGTCAGGGCCCTACGGAAGGACGATCCTGACGGTGGCTGAGAAGCCATGATAGGACCGTTGATTGGAGTTGGGAAAGTCATCTCCGAGAAGATGTCTTGATCGCTCAGGAACCTGTCAATCAGCCTCAGGACGAGATCAACGTCGTAGAGAGAGCCACTTCCAGTCGGCCGCAGTGGAATGACGATGTCGTCCAGGGAAGCTTTGTCCAGCTGGTGGCCGATCATCTTCTCCAGCTGCTTCCGGCACGAACGTCCCGAGTTGAGAGCCGAAGTAACTCGTAGCAATCCAAACAGAGAAGAGCAGGGAGCCGAGCCGTGATCTAAGTGTCCCAGCAGTGCGATGACCGTCTCCAGAAGCTCACGCTGGACCTTTTGCGTGTACTTCTGGAGGATGTGCTCGTCCCTGGTGGTGGAAGCGGTCGACCTCTGGTGGTGGGAATGGTAGCCGAGCGTTGGGAGCGCGGTCTGGACGTAGTGAACCAAGAACCTGGCCAGGATCCGGTTGTCCATGTTGTTGGAGATCATCGCCTTGACAATTCTCTCCATGAGATACATGGAGAGCGAGCAGACGTCGTCGAACCACCAAGTTCTCGAGAGGCGTTTGTTGTTGGCGCTGCTGCTCTGGTTTGAAGATGAATCCGGAGAGGTGGAGCTCGTCGGACTCTGGCAAGTGGAGCTGATGGTGGAGGCTTTCCAGGCCAGGGACTCGACGCACCTGTGGACGATGTGCGTCTTCTCCGCGTAAGGCAGCACGGGCTCGCAGCTCCGGAGGATGAGCAGCACCTCGTTCCAGCTCCAGAACACCAAATTCTGTAAGAAGTTCTCGGTTTCTTTGATCAGATTCCTGGGACTAAACTCCTCTGTCATTTCCATGTACTCGGCGATGCAGCGGAGGAGAGAGACGTTGGCGGCCGTAATGTGGAAGCCTCCGCCGCGTGGAGATCCGCTCGAGTGCCAGTAGCAAAACCGAGCTGCGAGCTCGAAAGCCTGCGGGCCTCCTGGAAGATCGTGAAAGGCAACACGCAAGGCATTGACGCGACAAGCTGTGAGAATCGTTGTTCCTCGGATGATCTTGGCGAGGCGTCCACATCTATTGACCAGAGGATCCTAGAGCAAAGAGAGATCAAAGTAAGTCAAAGTTTTCTATCGCTCGTTTGTTCACGCTAGGTGTTGGATGGATTCTATCTAACTGGTGTCTACTCACTTGTGCCAGGACGAAAGTGTGCTCTCCGTTCACTTCGACCTCCAGGAGCCTGTGCATTGGATCTTCGAGGAAGAGCTCCTGCTGCTTGTTCTTCATCGTCCCCGCGTCGCCCTCTACCTCGATCGATCCATCCCAGCTCGCTGCCGTTGTTGCTAGCTTCTTAAATCTCCAGCGAGTTCCCGGAGGGAATCAAGGGGAGGGACGAGAAAACGGTGGAGCAAATCGTGTTGCGTAAAATCGATCTCCTTTGGGAAGTTTCAAACACTAGTGGGTGGGAAAAAATTTATTAAACCGAACTTAACAAAAGGTTACGTTAAGCCAGAAACTATTTGCTCTCAGTGAGGATCGAACTCACGACCTTTCGCTTACGAAGCGAACGCACTACCACTATGCTATGAAAGCATGACAATGCGTCCTTGATATGCCAGCTAATCGAATGCTAAACCAGCTATTTGTCATCGATTTTGGGGAAGAGCTTAGCCCATGGCGATGGCGATCTCTCGATGCTGCTGCTCGTACAAGCGGGCGACGGTGATCGTTTGCATCTTCAATGTGGCCGCCGCGTTCTATGTCCTGGATGTGCTCCTCAGCTCCTCGTCAAGGTCTTCGTCCGGGATTCCATGGCGAAGGCGCCACGGTAAGCTCTCGGATCGTTGCTCTAGCCCCTACATTCTCGACTTGTCGCCCGATTCTGGCGCCTGGACCGCATAATCCTGGGTCTGGGACGATATTTCGCATTCCTGGAGCGATTTTTGCCCGAATTCCTCGCGTGATTTCGTGCCTGTCGATGCTTGATCCGTGAACCGAGAGTTTCGATTCTTTTTTTCTTTTGTTCCTCTCTTTCTTACGCGATCGCTTGTCGGCGTGGCAGTCCTGGGCTTCTCCGCGCAGGAGGCTCTTCGAATTCAAGAGGCGCACGAGATTCGCCGAAAGGTTGAGCCTCACGAGCTTATTGACAGGGTAATGTATGAGAACGACCGGTTGCTTTCCTTTCTTCCTTTCTTCGCTACCCAGATTTTAATTCCGGTCTCTCTTTATCTTTGTAAAGGTGAAAGAGATCCAGCTTGAGTCGGATCAAGAGAGCAGCGGTCCCGGCGCTATCAGAAGGAAAGCCGCCATGGACATCGTCCAAAGATTGCGAGATATACAATCAACAAACAATCAAACTGCCAGTCAAGGTGTGAAGCTCGACAAAAATAAAATAAGAAACTATGCTAGACAACTCAATCTGGATTTGGCAGCTCTAAGTGAATGGCGGCGCAAGAGACTCGAAGCGGCTCGTGCGCGAGAGGCCAAGCAGTCTGCTGGGACTAATGCTACAAGTGACATGAATCAGGAGTTGGCACAAGGTAGGCACGAATTTCTAACTTCGTGTTCTCTCATTTTCTTTTCAATTTTAGAAGAGGTGTCCAAGCTGGTGGAGCTGGGTTGGCTACACACTCACACCGAACCCCCGAGTTTACCAGTGTCCGACAGTGACACCGGCGAAATCCTTCCAACAGTCACTGGAGCCGAAGTTGGTAAGAGCAAAAACCGCAAAGCGAAGCGCCGTAGATCTCACGTTTTCTCCTCGGTTTTTTTTTGCAGAGGACGGGATCATCCCTGGAAGGATTGTTCCCCCCGAGTGTCACGCCGAGGCACACACGGATTACGATGGTGTTGCTGTCCGGTGGGGACTGACGCATCATACGGAGAGCGCCGCCGATTGCTGTCAAGCGTGTTTCAACCAGGCCAAAGCCGCAAAGCCGGGCGAGAGGAAGTGCAACATTTGGGTGTTTTGCGCTGCCGAGAACGGCTGCTACTCGCCTGATATCTATGAGCACAAACACCAGGAATGCTGGCTCAAACAGGTATCAGCTTTTCTTTTCTTTTCTTTTTTTTCTTTCAATCGATCGCTCAAACGATTATCTTGACAGGCTGATGAACCAAAGCTAAACTTCAAGGGCCACTACCACGAAGAGTACAGGCAAACTCATCAAAACGCCCCGGTCGTAGTTCCCTGGGTCTCTGGAGTTATTCGCGAATGACCTCCAGGTTCTTTTATACTTTTTCTTTTTTCTATACGATCCAGTGTACAGATTTTGGTAATTCTTCGTAGTACTATTCTTTAGTACTATTCTTTAGGACAATGTAGTCATTCCAATTTGGAAAGCTCGCAAAGCTTAATGTTTTTTTTCTTGTTTTTGCAAGATATACGCAAGCACCACTTACAAATGGCTGATGATTTACTGTACATTGTGTGAGAGCCTCGCTTCTTCGACTTAGCTGGCACACGAGATCGCATCAGTCGGCTTGATCCTCGAGAACAACGCTGGCTCTGGCCCCAAGTCACGCACCGAAGAGGTCGCCTCCTCCACGGCCTTTTGGAGCTCAAACTTTCTTGAGCTTAGCTGCTGGCACAGCGAGCAAATCGCCTTCTTCTCTTGGCTCGAGACGCTCGAGACGCTCGAGACGCTCCCGGAGAGCAAGCCCCGTGGAGCAGCGCCGCCCGAGCTCTCCTCTTGGATGGATATGACGTTCTTGCTCGGGTTCTCTGGCGAGCTCTCGGCTTTGGCTTTGCTATAAACTTTGCCCGTTTTCTTCTTTTCCATCTGCCTGGGCATCACGTCAAACAGCCACTTCCCTCCGTTCCAGACGGCCACCGCGGCCTTGAAGAGCTCGAAGAGTACGTGCAAGCGGTACGACTTGAACATCGGTACCGTGAGCGCCATGGTTGCCACCGTGAACGCCGCTTGGATCGCCGCGTACATGACAACCCGGTTGCGTTCTCCCAGCAATCCACTGAGCCACCACCATATGTTGTTTGCTCTCGCGGCCTTTCGAGATAGCTCCCTGTCAAGATCATCTATATAACTTGAAAGAGATTGAAAGCTTGTGAAGTACCTGAAAGATGTCATGACTTCTGGATCTCTGAGCAGCCTTTGCTTGCGCAGAACGTTGACGATGAGGAGGTAGAGTGCTTGCCAGACGCTGTACGCGATGAGTGGGACGAAGAAGAGCCAAGTCCACAAGGCGCGGTCGTCGTGAACGAGTGGCCAAGCCGGCCAAGGCCCCGTTGCGTCCAAGGAATGGTGAGGATACGTAATTGGATCCCACCAGCGAATTATGAAGAACACGGTGCCTGCTCGTATAGTCGCAAGTTAGCTTGGTTCTGTGGAAAAAGAAGGAGAACACTGTGAAACTTGCCGGGAAGCAAATGAATTAGAACGCTGATGATCTTGTCAATAGAGCTGAACACCAGGCTACACCTCCATACAATCAATGCCCAAGCTAGGGGCCCCTGAAAAGATCGATGCAATGAACCTTCTTTGAAAACGAGCATGAAGTGAGAGACCACTTACTTCAGAGAAAGAAAAGCAGACCATGAAGAGCTTCTCGTTGTTTGGAAAGACGAGAAGCATAGCCATGAAGATAACATTCGCGTAGTAGCAAAAGTCCTGCAAATCCATGAACGAAGTTTTGTAAACATGATTTACTCGAGCACCAAGAAGATTTACTCTACCAGAAGATAGTAGTGCCACTTCCTCGTTCTGTAGTAAATCCATCTCAGTGGAGCGATCCCAAGGAAGAACAAGCAGTACAGATAGGGAATCTCGTGCGGCCCTGATCCACCAATCATGCCAAAGAGTTATATACTAAACTTTTTCTCCCAAAGAATAGGAACACTCACTTGATCCCATCACGTAGCACACAGTGCCAAAGCAAAACACTCCAATACAGTAAGTCACCTAGAGGAATCAAACACGCAAACGCTTAAGTGTCGAAAATTTTATTTCTTTCTATTTTCTTTTAAAGTAAAAAAAAAAGCCAAACACGCACCTTATTGAGGAGCTGCTCGTGTTCATCAGCCCTCCTGGAAATTATAGAGGCTCGCTCGGACAAGAATCGCGCAGCGACCTGCATTACACAAAGCCTCTTCACAATCCGCGCGATCGCAGCACCGTGAGAATGGAAAACCTACCTCGGATCGCCTCGCCGCAGCCAATTTGGGAGAGCCGGCGTCGTCGTCGGGCGCCATTGCGCCGGCCGCGGCGATGAATCGAGAGCGCGCCAGCGAGCGAGCGGCGTTCTAGCTCCCAGCGAGGCGCTCAGGAGATTCTCGCAGCAGCGATGGCGCCCAAGATCCAAGAACAACAGCGCGAATGATGAAATCCAACGGCCACCAATCAAACCTATGGTTGTCGTGTTGATACAGGGATGGCATATTCGCGAGATCTACCTGCGGATATCCCTGTTTTGTGCTCATATACCTTTTTACTTTAAATTTAAAATTAAAGGACTCCTTTTGGCGGGGCCCTAGATATTTTGGCGGGAATGCTCTCTTTATACTTTAACCTTGTTTTTCATTTGATTAAGAGACATCGCGAAGAGTTTGCCGAGATTCTAGCACCAGACAACAGCGTTTTTATACATCTTCTCCAAGTCCTTTAGTTTAACACTTTGAAATTTAGCAGGTCTCTCCAACAATGATGCGGCCATTGCTGAGGCTCATTCACACCCCCAAATTGAGATCAATCATAGTTATAAGGTGCTAGTTAACTTGACAATATTTATGTTTTGATGCTTTGGAACAGATGTTTGAAGCGTGCTAGCAAGGGCTCGTAGAGGTGACCACTCTTTTTTGCCACCAAGACCGGTAAGCACTTTCGTCTAAGTTCGAGAACCTCGTCATCGCTCCCACTCTCCGCGGCCTTGCTCCACGGCAGCAAGTTCTCGTTAAGAATTTTCAGGCAGCAATACAGCAGGCTCTCCAGGTCGCTGATGATATCATCTGCCCTCGTACCTATGAAGTACCAGTGGGAAGAAAACTCCCAGCTCGGAATCCCAGTCATCGCAGTCTTGACACCCAGAGAAGGCCATGCACTGTCAACTGCTTCAACGAACTTTGAAAATGCCGTGCCGTATGCAAGCCCCCAGTCTATCAAGCTGTAGGTGCCATCCTTGCAGCAGATGTTCTGTAGAGAAACATCCCCGTGGTAGACACCCTTTTGAGCGCAGCATTGCAGCACTTCATAAAGCTGCTTGCTCATCTCGTAAACTTGTGGGGGAGTCATGGAGGAGGAGGACAGAAGTTTTTCCAGCGGCACCCCAGCATCCCTGACAAGCATCGCTGGCCTGTTTTGCAAGCCTTGAGCCTCCACTGTCACAGGACAAGCACCTGTGTCTCCGAGTTGAGCTCTGAAAAACATATCCCTCCGTTTGAAACCATCTCTCCCACGTCCATTCCGGCTCTAAGGTCGAGAGCCCCTCCGCCCGGCGTTGCACATCTGCCCCAACCTTGAGCCACCACACCCGGCTTCCACATGAAACTCTAAAAACCAGACTAGTCTCTGTGTATAGTGCAATTCCTGTGATGACAACCGTCACCTTCTGATCCATTCGGCTTTGCACCGGAATTTCCAAAAAGTGTTCGCCTATAGAGTAACCCTGCTGCCTTTCAGCTCGATCTTTATGCGAGAAAAAGGATCCCTGGAAACGCCAGTATTTGCCTGTCAAGCATTGCTCCTATCCATTGGACGCAGGGCAAGTCCATGTCGATAGTGAAAAGCTGGCCAGGAGAGTAGTTGCCGTTCGCCAATGGAAGCAAAGGTCCGTCTACTGTCTGAGGTAGATTCTCGTACTCGTGTGCTTGATACACACACTGCACCCTGAGTCCCGTCCCAACGAAACCACACACCTCGCTCTTTCCATCAAGTCCGTGGTACTTGGTTCGCTCCAGATACAACGCGTTGCCTGTGACCACCAGCTGCCCGCGAGCCTCTTCCACTTTCAAAAGATATCCTGGCTCCTCAGTTTTCTGATCCACGACGTTCGATCTGGAAGTACCTATATGGAAGAAACCATCAAGCAACAGCCTCCCTACGCTTGCAGAATCCCGACTGACTTGTATGGGCACATTCCGTGCGCGTGCAATTGCCTCGGCATAGCTGACCAGAAAGTGGACCTGTCGCTTGTATGAGTCCTTTTTCATGCTGCCCACCATCTCGTTGGTTACTCGCTGCTCCAATGCCCCGGCCGCTGTCAAATGTCTCACAAAAGCTTCCTTGTTCTCGGAAAAGAGACGAAAGAAAGGAAGACCCGGAATGCCCTGCATGCGGTCAAGTTCCTCGATGCGTTCCAGCTGCTTCCTGTCCACCCTCGTTGAGCTTACGCGGCCGAGGCTAGACTTGTTGTCCTCAGGCGGAAGCCAGATATAGAGATTCGATAGATCCAAAAGTTGCAACCCCAACTCCCGCTTCTTGCGTGCTAGTATTCGTTCGTTTCGAGCGATTGTCTTTGTCTAGATCCTCCAGGAACTTTGGAACAGCTGGATCATCTAATGGATACACGTACCACCTGAAGAACAGCCATTTATCATCATCGGCTCTTGCAACAGTTTGTTGAGCAAGTTCCACGTCCTCAGTAGCAGTTTCGACGTTTCGCTCGATCTTGCGCTTCTCGCTCAGAGAGAATACCTATAGCTCATCCACTACAACTTTCCAACTTATCAGCGCCATCTAAATCTACCGGTACAACCCTAACCCAAAAGCGATTCCATTTAGGAAATTCGTACCAGCTTTTCGAAAGGGCGAAAATTCAATTTTGAGAAGACAAATGCTGCAATGGCATGAGGAAATTGGCAAAGCTTCTGCTCGAGCTACGTCGAAGAAGGCTATATGTTTTCTTCACCTTGTTGATCACTATGTCCATGGTCAATCTTCTGGGACGAGCTGAAAACCTATCTGGATGGAGCTTGGCATGGCATCTTGTGGGCACCAAGGCGATGTAGAGAAATGAGTGGCTGTCCAGATTACAGCCAACCTGGGGTGATATAAAGGTGCTGGTGAAGGAGCGAGATGTAAGCTTGAAAGCTAGATCCATATTGTTCTTCACTGCTGGAGATCGAACTCATCCCCAAATGGAGGAGATATATGGAACAGGCTCTGCAGTGATCTCGGTCACCGCAGACATCTCGGACAGTGTTTTTGTTGCTTGGAGCACGTAGCTTTCCTCAAATCTATGGTTATGGTTTGTAGACCTCTGAAAAATGGATCCAAGGCAGAACCGGCATTCTCTCGCGCCAGGAATCTAACATGCGATTCATGCTTTTCCGCAGCCAAGGAATCCCTGGTCTTTGGCTTTAGAAGCATTGATCATGGCCAATGTTAACCCTAGAGACATTGACTTCGTTAAGCTATGCACGAGCACTCCGATGATATTCTGTCTAGAGAAAACGAAATATTATGATAACAATGGCCATGTTTTCGGGGCTATAGGTGGCAAATCAACTGTGATGCCATAACTCGGTTGCCTCTTGACACTGTAGCAGCATGCAGCGGCTTTATGATCGGTCTAATAGAGCCATCCATGCTTATGAGAGGTGATTCTCTTATTAGAATTGAGCACTGTTTCCACGTACACGAATGTGTGCATCTCCAGGAGGGAGATTCAAGACGGCTCTCGTAGTTGGGGCCCATGTTCTATCCAGATATGTGGACTGGACAGATAGGAAGACGTGTATTTTGTTTGGGGATGCGACTGGAGTTGTGGTACTCAAAGTGAGCAAAGCAAAGACATCACTACTGAAGCTTGCTACAATTTTAATTTTCAGGCTAGCACCAGCAAAGACAATCTACTTGGCTATCAGATGCCAACGTATCTAGTGGAGATAAGTACGTTGCTTCGACATATCCATTGTCACGATTGATCTTGCTTGCAAGTACTTACATCTTTCACCCAAGGAAAATGCTATTGACAAGACGGTGCAGGGGCGCAATGGCCCATAGAGCTGTTGTCCTATTCATTCCTTGACATGGAAGGGCAAGAAGTGTGTTGTTGAAACCGTGCCTGCAGCTGTCCAAGACGCTCTTGAAGATGCCGATCTTAGAATTCAGGAGATTGATTAGAGCTTCATCAAAAAGCAGAGGCAAACCAGCAAATTTTGGACAAAGTTACCAAGAAAGGTCCTAAGGAGAAAGTGTTGTCAAACCTCGGGTCCTATGGGAACACCAGTGCTGCATCCATTTCTCTTGTGTTGTATGAGCAAGTTCGAAGTGGTCGAGTCAAGCCAGGGGATGTTATAGCTACAGCAGGATTTGGAACTGGTTTTTGCAAGGGCTGTCGTCCTGAAACTTGACATCTCCAAAAGTTGGCGAAGCATAAAAATTATGAATATATGCTATGACATAAACTAGTGTATTCAATCTTTTGTATCTTCTTAAGCCAGAGCTGGCGATGCTCGAGGGAACACCAGCAAGCCTTTGTCTCTATAACTCTCCACAGAGTCTTTCAAGCACTCCTTGAGCGGCCGGAACTTCAACCCAAGCTCTCGGCGGATCTTCTCAGTGGAGATGACAAAACGCGCCGCCCTCTCGCCGCCAGTGACCATCTTGGACGGCAACCGCGCCGCCACCTCTGGCGGCACAACCTCCCGCAGCACATCGATCAGCTCCGCCCTGTGGAGCGAGCTCTCGGCACACAAGTATCGTCCGCGAGCTCCCTGCCTCTCGAAAGCCTCAACATGAGCCAGAGCAACGTCCCTTACATCGACGTAGGCCTGGGATCGGTTCAAGTATCGCTCAAACTTCGTGTTGATCAAACGAAGGATGTGAGAGCTGCTCGCGTTTTGCCATGGCTGCAACACCGGGCCGAGAGTAACACTTGGATTTATCACCACCAAGTCCAGCTCACTCTTCATGGAGATCTGCCAAGCAGCACTCTCCGCCAGCGTCTTTCCCAGGCAGTACCACTCGCCGGTCTCTTCCATAAACTCGAGGCTGCTCCAGCACTGCTCGTCGATCGGGGCGCTATCGCCGCGGGAGGGATCCAGGTACATGGTCCCAATCGTGGAAGTGAGCACCACTCTCGTCACCCCCGCGCTGGAGCAAGCCCGCATCAGATTCACGGTGCCATCGACGATGGGCTGGACGATCTCAGCGTGGGGATCGCGGGTAAGCTTGGCCGCCATGGCGCAGGCGACGTGGAAGACCCCGTCGCAGCCCTGGACCCTGGCCTCGATGGCGCTGCTGCTGCTGAGATCGAGCTTGACGATGGTGAGGCGATCCGGAGCGCCCGGAAGCTGCTTGAGATGCGCGAGCTTGAGCTCGTCGTGGGGATCGCGCACGGCGGCTCGAACCTGGTAGCCTCGATCCAGGAGAATGCGGACGATCCAGGAGCCGATGAAGCCGCCAGCACCCGTTACCGCCACTGTCGGCATGCTTGCTTTTCGTTTTAGGTTTTCTGTTTTGCAAAGCAAAAGGAGACACGATGACCTCCGAAGCTCTGAAGATGATCCACCTGGTAGTGACTCTTGGATTGAATTCTTGACGAGGATTATATATAGGTGCGGCATGCTGAGGCTGAACACAATGGTTTCCATTCGCCGGGCCATGTCTTCGATCCGGTTCTCAAGCCCGCTGGCTGGAAGCAAGTAAGAGAAATAGAAAATATAACAGGATTTTACAGTCGGGTTTTAGGTGGAGCAACTCCGGAAGCATATTGTAGCCACGGGCTTGATGCGTGAAGTTAAGCTAGTTGTGGTTTCTCCTTTGACGCGGTAAGCACAGGACCAGCGCTTTCAGGACATTACAAACGGCTGTAGGTGTGTTTGGGGTGCGGCATGGCAGCGAACGAATCTCCAGTCCACCGCCTCTTGTTGCCTTGGACCTGTGCAGGGAGCTCATGGTACGTTCAGTTCATGCATCACTGAGATCTTTTGTGTTTTTGTGTTTGCCAGATTCCTTCTGGAGCCACCAAGAGGAGGTCCATTAGTGAAAGCAAGTTTCAATTTCCCGAAGTGGATTTTTCGCAGGTGGCCATTTTTTCTTTCTTTCATATTATAAATTGTGATTTACTTTTCATAGATCGAGGATGATGAAGACGTGCTGTGGAAACCCAACCGAGAATCAAGGGAGTCCTTTGATGCACGGCGGAGATCTTTCTTGCAATGGTAAATCAAACTCTTATGACTGTTTTCAGCAGTTGCCTTTTGAGCAGGTTGACGTTTCGTGAAGAGAAGAACATCGCGGTTGTTTCCCATGGCGCCTTTCTCAAAAACCTGGTGAATAGTCGTGATGAAGATGGGTCAAGATTTTGTGGTGACCAGAAAACCTCAAACTTTTCAAATTGTGAGCTTTTCTCCATCGCTCTTCATCTCAAGCCAAGTTCGTCGCTGTGCTAATTAGGTTCCAGACATTTCAAGGCAATAATAATAGTATTCAATTTCCTGAAATATCGTAAGTCGTCCGTGTTAATTGAGGCGAGTGCTACGTTTTTGGTGGTAAGTTCTGCTTCTTCATTCTATAATTTCTCAGAGGAAAGCAAGTACAACCATGGAGTTTATGACGTGGACCATAGTATGTGCTGAACCTCGTTTGAAGCAAGTTTCACTTGTTTCTCCAAAAGGTAACATGTAGAGCCTCTTGGTGCACGCGAGAATTAACGGTTGAGGCGCTGTAGTTACTCTACTCAAAATTAAGAAGTCGGTAGACGGGTCTCTTTGACATTAGTGGCTGTCATGGTGAGAGCCTGCTTTCCTCTGGAACATGGCGATGTCATCTTACTAGGCATTTTCTAGTAGATAATCGATGGCATCCGATAACCAATTAAAAAACTCGTAGCTTTTCCTCAGGGCCCTCTTTGATCCAGGTCCCGAACAAGAAGCAGTGGAAGCTGCTATATGGACTCTTTTCGATCTGGTATAGCCACCTGTTAGGTTTCGAGGATGAAGGCCTACGGCAGCAGCAGCAACAACACCACAAGAAGGCTTGTGGCGGCAGCAGCAATGGACACCAAAAGAAGGCTTACGGCACTGACATCATAATAAGTTCACAAAGCAAAAGCCGAGGAGGTGGACATTTTTGCAATCGCGAACGCTGGCGAACGCATGCGAGCAAGGTAAGCAAGATTGAGTTTGATCTTTGCAAGGGGGTAAGAAAGCTCACTTATTCTGAATTTTCTAGTTTTTGTTTTCTTTTGCTAGCCTGGAGTGGATCCTTTTGCTCATGAACAAAAGCAATGCTACCTCTGCCTAGCGAAGGGACACTATACTTATCAATGTTCAAGAAATCCCCTGCGAAATGAGCACTGGGCAGAGAGGACTTACACTGGACCAATGAAGAGAATTCGTCTTCAGGTTTGTATCACCTGTTTCTTTATATGTTTATTTGTGTACGTTTCCAGGTTCAGGGAGCAGACTTCCTGCAATACCATCCTCGTCTCTGCGTCCAACGGATTGAATACGAAAACCTCACAAAATACATCCAAACTTGGGAATCTTTATCGTGCCTGAACCACCCACCCTTTTGCATCTCAACTTTGGGACGCTTTCCAGCATCTGGATGGACACATCAACGCAGGCCTAGGCTTCGAGCTATACAAATCCGATGAAGAAATGCCTCCAGGGTATAACCAGTTTGCAGCTGCAGATGAAGCATTGATTGAAGAACTGAAAAAGGAAGCGAACCATCAAAAAAGCTAGCGCTTTAAGAAAGTAAAAGTGGAAAGGTGTAGTCAAAGTATACTGTATCGCTCGTGCCTCAAGAAGACAAGAACTAGTCGTCAGCCTATTGTGGTCTTGGGACGCACTAGAAAAGCTTGTAGCGAGGAAGTTAAACACACAAAATTATCAGTCCCTGAGCCATTGTGATCGAGTTTCCACGCATAATCGAGATCATTGGTTGTGAAAGGCTCGGGAATGGAAGATCCTCGCTGCTTACATCCAGCCCCTTAATGTTTTTTTCTCTCTGGAGAAAAAGAAAAGTACCAGTCCGTTCGCATTCTTTCAAACTCGCAGGTGTAAATGATTCCTGGAAAGAAAAGTGCGAAGATTTCCATGCCAATGCTAACAATCAAAGGTACTACAGGCAGAAGTGGGAAAAAACAAAGCACATATCCTTTTGCCATAGAATGGTCTGAAGAAATCGGTCTGCTTAAAGTCGTTGCATCCTAGACAAAAGTAATTTATCAAGCATAAGCATCGCTCCAATCCTTAGTTCCTGATGAATGTCAAGACTGACAGCTCCCCAGGCTGTAGCGGCTGGATGTTAGGTTTCCATTGTTTTCACATAGTTTATGAAAGCTATATATCAATTTATCAAATATCCTGTATCATGTTATATGTGATCTTAAAGCTATAAGGGGGAGGTTTGCTGGGCATTGGATCCCTTGCATGGTCATGAGAAAAATTCTCTTGATGTTAGTTTTGGCCAATGGGATTGGAGGGCGAGAACTAAATACAATTGATGCTCTCTAGCCTTATGCTGCAATGATCTTCTTGTGTTTCTGTCCAAGAGGCCAATAGAGCTCAACACCTATATCCCATATAATATTCACTTTTTGCAGATACCATGTAAAGGTTGTCAAGTGATGAGCCCCTTGCAGCCATGTCTTAAATGCTTTTTCCATCCATAGCATTCAGATATAGACTATATTTTCCAGAGGGAGATCACTAAGCTCCATCTCTAGTGACCATGTCTAGGCCTGAAGTTTGTGCCACCACCCAAGTTGATGTTGATTGCCAAGGTTGATAGAGTCCAAAACAACAAACTTCACGAGGTTGCCTTCATCCAGGTGTGAGTAGACATAGAACATATTACATGGTGTTCTTCCCAACTTGGAGCTGCATTGGATACCAGATTCCATATACATAATCCTGTGAATTCTATGAGGATGTCCAATGAATCTTTTGAACTTTCCTCCAAAGATCCTTGCCCCATTCTATGGTATGGAAATCACTTTGGAGGGCATGTGATACTAATATGGTCAGTTATCTCATTGATGTACTATATAGCCAAGGTATTTGTATGCCTTAACCTCTACCACTATCTTGCCTTGATACATATTCTAAGCATTATCTCCCCCTCTGAAGGTCACAATCTATGTTTTGGTAAGATTTATAGCTAAGCTTCTGTTTTCACAAAACATGGCAAGGACCTCTAGTTGTCTCTGAAGCAGGAGGCAAGTAGTAGTAAGTCATCTATGTATAGAAGTAAATACAAGTACAGTCCTGCCATTTGGATCTCTGATAGATGGTGATCAACAAACAGAGCCTTAATCACATTGGTATATAAACTAAAGAGATTTGGAGAAGGTGGGCTGTTCTATGCCAATGGTGTTGGTGAGCAATTCTTGATCAGTAAAGTCAATAAAAATAACTTTATATAAAGCTGAAGAAACCTGGATTATCACTGTGGATGTTCTAAATACTTTTAGCTGATCTAATAAGCCTTATCTCAGAACTATATTGAAGGCTTTCTTGAAATTAATGAAGTAACATATTAAGTGCTTGACATAAAGAAGCAATTCCTAAGTATTTATTTAGTTAAGTATATTTGGCTGGGCTTGTTAGTTCTCTTTGGTTTATCTTGCATTGGCTTAGCAAAAACCCCATGATATTCAGTCTAGTCCCTCAATATTGTTATATAGTGGACACCTTTGTTATCATGCCTTATATATTGGTTTTAATGTTCTAAACCCTATGGTGTTGTTCTTGCTCCCTAATTTGTAAAATAACACCATTCCATATTTAATAAGTTATATTTGTCCCAAAGATTAACTCCTCTCCTCACTATCCAACATTTTCCACACCAAAACAAAATGGCCTTTGACTTATGGAAGGTAGCCTGACATGTTGGAACTCCATAAACACCAAAATGAATGAGCATGGAGAAACCACAGTTGGTTAGGGACTTGAGCCTCCTCATACTCTAGTGCTAATAGTCATTATAGCCGTTCGAAAGTTTTTCCTCCTCAACACTGGCCTTTTTGGCAATGCCATTATTATTCTTCATTACACCACCCATTTACTCTTCACTTTCTATCAAACTTTATTTTGTATTTTATCTCCTATAACTGATATAAGGACTCCTCACGATGGATAACCACCCTAAGATTATTGCTAATCCCCTATTAATTAATCATATTTAGTCTAAAATAAAGAGAAATCCATGATCTTGACTTGTATCAGTCGTAAGCACACTCTAGCCCCTTGATAAATCTCAATATCTAATTAGAAATTTTGACCCATTATTCTTCATTAGGGTTGATTGTAGCTATCACTAGAGTTGATGACATGGCCTCATTCAAGAGGACCCCAAGGGAGCCAATGATGATCACTTGGATCATGTGTAGTTAGTTGCAATGTTTGATAAATGTCACAAGAGCATTATTGGCCATATGCAAGGACAATCTCCTAATTTTTCATATTACAAAATTGTT